ATACCAAGTGAGATTTTTTTTGAAAGGTATAATTTATTTACAATTTCAAGTATTAGCAATTTCAAGTTATTAAAAAGAGTGTGATCACATACATCAGTCAAGTCACCGAAAAGTCGCTGATTAGATACGTCAATGAGAGACGTGTGTATATGAATACTCTACTTCACCTTCGACACGTCGGTTGTGACGTGCCTGATGTGCACCGCGGACCGATGTCATGAGACTTCTACCAAATTGACCAATCAGTGACTTGATGGTGACGGACTGATGTGTGCAGCTGTGCCTGAATCGTATAGCTACTAGAACTAGGTCATTCTACGAGGAAAAATTTTGATTACAATGGTGTGTTAAAAGCGGTTCGCTCAAATTTATTTATTATGACATTGGTTGCAAGATCAATATTTTCTCCTATTGATACCATCATTATTATTAGGTTGCATCGTGCAATTTAGCTCAATCTTCAGCCATTGTGTTTTCGGTAGAATTTTTCCATAAATTCTTAACATGTTTCCATACAAAATATTCTTCTTTCAATGTAAGTAACATTTGAAAAAAAAAATACGTAAAAATTCTTACATTCAAAATATTCAACGATCTTTAAACAAATGTGATTATATACGATCTTACAGTTGATAAAAGCAGTGTTGGGCGATAACGTATTATAAATCAGAAATATCTTTTGTTAAGTGAATCCAAGACCACAGATGCACGAAAATTAATGGATCCTAAATCTGTAAAATATAGCCCTCTTTTTTTGTAATTTTACTCCTTTATTTCTTTGTAAATAAGATAAAATGTATAAGGTAAATTATAAATATTTTTGGTATTTTTTAAAATCTAGAAACAATTGTTACAGTTTCTAACACCTGCAATAATTTATGTATTTTGGTGTAAGTAAGAAGAGAGCTAACAGTGTTACACGTTTTACTGCTGCACACAGAAACTCATTCGATTTCTGGAGTGTTCTGTCGTAAGGAAGTATCTTTTGTCCTACTCCAGTATGTGCCAGTCAACTTTGCGCGTCCTCGAAATATTACTTCGACATGCAGATTTTCTCGATTTGATACATTTCCGAGAAGGTGGTTAATCATCAATTAGAATTTCAATAAAGAATTGTATTAATTGATGTCGGCTAGAGTCGAACTTAATTTGCTCACATATTATGAAATTTAAATATGAAGGTTGATCCGTTAGCTACAACCGGTCGAATTTTTAAGAACATTAAAAATTTTACTACCTTTTTTTGTGCAGTAGTTTTTTAGAGAAGTCAAAATCAATATGTGTTGTTGTAGGCTCGAGCTTCATTTATCGTTTAAAAAAACTATAATTAGGGAAATGGAAACACTATATTAAAGGTAACGAGGCGTCCCATCTTAGACTTCAAGGACAACGATATATCTACATTTTGTTCTTTATCAAAGATAGATGTTACCTATATGTTATAAGATCTACTTTCCCAGTGACCTGATTAATCTGAACTGTGTGCTCGTTTGTCACATTTACTTTTTACATAAAAATAAATCTGTACATTTTTTTTTTTCATCAGTTTTGTTCTTTCTATTTGCTGATATTGCAGAAATATTACGAAGAAACATGTCTATCTTAAAACTGAAAATTTATAGTACGAGTATATCCCTGAACTGACGATTGCAACCCTAATTAAATTAGCGTGGTGAATTTTTCCCTCAGATTTTAGCTGCTACTTTTTAAAGTCTATGGTTTATGAAGAAAAGATATTTTTGTTATTTAGAAAAGTTTTAGTTCTTTTTTTGAGAAATAACGTTGACGTTGTTGTGTCAGTTTTTATTTATTTATTTATTTAATCTTTATTGTTTTACACCTTAATCTAAGGGTTACAATGGGCGGACTTAATGCTATGTAATAGTTGGTAGGTGCTAAAATATTAAAATAAATGGAGTTTTCCTCAAGATAGTGTTACCGGACTAGTTTTTAAACGTGCACTTATTCGATGCTTTTCTTATATTAATGGGCAAGGCGTTACAGAGAAGTATTGCCTGAACTGCAAAAGAAAACTTAAAGGAAACAGTACTATAATCAATCTTAAGGACGTTGAGAAGACGAAGAGGAACGAGATTCACGGTCGAGAGTTGAACACCGAAAGTGGAAGTTATCTTTAAGATAAGAAGGAGACGTCAGATCATTTAATATAGAGAAAAGAGTTAATAAGATTCTGGAGCAACGCCTCTGATGAATAGAAAGTGATTTAAGCTTGGAACGAAAAGGAGTGGTGTGGTCGTATTTTCGTAAGTTGAAGATAAATCTTAAGCATTTGTTGAGAAGGCGCTCCAACTTGTTAAGAAGATTTTGCGAGAGGTGTGGATAGCACACATCTGCGTAGTCTATAATAGGAAGAATAAGGGAATTAACAAGCAAAAGCTGGGTTTTGAAGGGTAAGAAACTTTTCATACGTTAGAGGGAACGTAGCGTAGCAACAACATTACTATTAACTTCCGAAATCTGTTCTGCCCAATTCATACAGTGATCAATGTGTAAGCCTAAATTGACTATGGATTGAAAAAATGAAATTGTAATTCCATTATATAGAATTGGTTCAAGATTTCCATAGTCAATCATAATCAACGTTCTTGCTTTACATTTGATGGGCTTACTGAAACACCAAATCTATGAGACCAGATACGGATGGAATCTAAGTTTATGTTTAGTTCCCTGATTGCATTATTTATATCATCGATACTGGATTGTGCATATAGTTGAAGGTCATCGGAGTACAGATGGTACGAGCAACTGAAATCATTATATATTGAGTTTATAAACAGCGAAAACAATATTGGAGATAATATACCGCCTTGCGGTACGCCAGCTTCAACGTCAGCCCAAGCAGAAAACTGCTCCCCTGACCTAACCAATCGTTGACGACCGCGAAGATAGGATGAGAACCACTCCAAGGCTGGTGATAATAATCTGAGGTAAGAAAAATGGATAGGAGGATATCGTGGTCGACTGTGTTAAAAGCATTTGAAAAGTATAAAAATTATAATAAGTATAATAACAATAAGCGCCACCACTGTAACTTTCCGTTCCTCCATCCCTTTTCTAATGTCATCAGTGATCTTAATAAGTACAGTGGTGGTGCTGTGATCAGAGCGAAACCCTGACTGTAAGTTATTCAGTAGGTTATATTTTTTATGAAAATAGGTAATTGCTTATGCACACAGGCTTCCAGAACTTTAGAGAGATATGGGAGAATAGAAATTGGACGATAGTGATTTGGTAGTTCAGGATTGGGTATTTTTGGGAGAGGACGTATATAAGCTCTTTTCCACAATGTTGGATACTATCCTGAGTCCAGGGAGTAATTAATAACATGAGTGATAGCTGGCAGAAGGAAGTCAAGCAATGTTATGTTAATAAATTTACTTATCTTATCACAACTTACAGCCTTGAAATTAATAGACAATACAGCTTTAGGTATTTCATCTTGAGTTACAGGAGAAAATTCGAAAAAAGGAATAGTTAGAGGTTGCATAGAAGCAATAGAAGCAATGGTTCGTGATCTTACAGAAGAGTCCAGTGTATGAGTTGAGACAAAGTGACTATTTATATCATCCAGATTAAGAGAACTATTATCAGATGACATTGGCTTAGTAATACCAAGAGATTTTAAGAATTTCCACATATCAGCGGTCAAAGTACTGCTTAAGTTATTATGAATGTAACGACGTTTAGCATTTCGTACTATCTGATTGCACCTGTTTCTTTGCAATTTAAAGTTACACCAGTTCTCTTCTGTACAAACTCTTTTGTATTTCGTAAATGGCCGATGTCGTTTGCGCATTGCCACTCGTACACCCCTAGTCATCCAAGGGGCAGAAGGGCGTTTTAGTCTTACTTGATGATCTGGCGCATTGACGTTATAGAAATTCAGAATAGCGTTGTTAAAGAAGTAAATTTTGTTATCTATAGAAGAAGTAGCCCCCAATGGAGCAAAATCAATAAGAGCAGTATCTCTCCTGAGTTGGTCAATGTCTAAGCTGGAAAAATTGCGACAATGCAATATAGAAGGAATATGTTTTGGAGGTTTAATTCTATAAGATAAATAAATTAGATCATGGTGTGAAAAACAGGGGACTAAAAGCTGTCCGTGCTTGCCCACACGGTCAGGAGAAGATGTAATTATGTGATCAATCCATGAATCATCTGTATCAATGTTATGATGAGTGGCCGCTAAAGGCAGAATGCTGAAATTGACTGACTCCACGATTGATCCAAACTTATGAGCACGAGAATTATTTCTCAGTAAATCAGTATTGAAGACCCCATTATTAGGTAGTGCATGTATCCAGACCCAACGGTGTCGAAGGCTGTTTCTAGTACTGTGAAGTAGTCAATATTAGGAGGACAGTACACTACCCCTAAAATCGCCTTGATGACCTTGATGTCAATTTCAAGAAATAGATACTCAGAGGAGCCTGAATAAGTAGAAGGAGAAGCTAATACAACCTTGTAAGGAATTGAGGCTCTCAGATATATGGCAACTCCGCCACCCTTTCTGTCAGTCCTGTCATTGCGAATAAGCACAATATTACCTAAAGGATATGAGTTAGAATTTATAGATGATTTCAACCAGCTCTCGGATATTAAAATAGCATGAATACAATCTTGTAAAAAAGATACTTCAAAATCTGAAAAATGGCTAGGATGCTTTGTGCATTTATAAGAAAAACGTTAAAATATTTGTTACAAGTTAACAAAACACTATTTAATTGCTCATGAAGGGACTTCATGACATCCCTTGTGAGATCACTACAAAGGAAGGAAAACGAATCTGAGTCACGTGCAGAGTGAAATGAATCATCATCTTACATAATTATGGTAATGTAAAATAATTATATATGAATATATAAATATAATATAAGACAATACAAAAAAATATTTAAAAATGTTTAGTTAAGCTACAAAAAGTATTTAATATTATGCATCATCCCATCAGTTGACTGTTTACAGAAACAAAATGTTTATTATAAGTACATCAAGGGGTAAAGTAAAGTAAGTACAGTGTATATTATAGTACTCTTTACAAGCTGTAAAGAGAACTATTAGCTTAACGTTAACAATACCCTTAAGTTAACGCATTAAAACACTAAGAAATGTGACTATCCAAAAATTTTAATTAATAAGTAAGTGACATATCAATGTCTATAATAGAAGCACTAATAAATTATTCAATATTTTTACACAAAACAAACTAATTATCTGTTTGAAATATATTAAAAATAACGATTAGGATTAAAAGTAATAAAAAAGAAAACAAAAACAAAAAAAGCAATACCAAAGTAAATTATAAAAAATACAAAGTTATGAATATCAATATCCGAATAAACAGGGTAAATTAATATGTAGGATCCACATAAACGTAAAAATTACCTAAAAAGCACAATGGCTATGGCATAGGGTCCAATTATTTTATGTTAAACATAACATTAGTAACATAAATGCAAAGTTTACATTATAGTATAATAAGTAGTATAAAAAAGGCTAAAATAACTGTATCTAAATTAAAGAATTAAGTAAAAGAAAAACCTGTATGTTTTGGGCACTACCCTAATATTTACCATCCATATCGTGTTACTAAGCTAAAATAACAATTAATTGTATTGCTAAAGTGTAACAAATGGGAATAAATAACAGTAGGCAAATATAGTCAATACCTTATAGACGAACATAAATCATTAAAGTATGAGAGAAAACAATTGATGCCAAAAATAGTACCCTTAGTGCATAAGTTATACACTCTCCTTAATATAAACTTAGTTATTGTAACTACCTAATACTGTACACAATGAGTCAAAATCGAAGAACTTGTTAAATAGCAAATTAAAATAAAATAAAATGTTAAAAAATCAAGTAATTATGATCTGTAACATTGTAATCATATGTTAATGATACCGATTGAATAGTGAAATACAACAAAAAAACCTAGAAACTAATTAATAATCCTAGAAGTTTTAATTATGCTAACAATATAAATATGAAGAGAAATAGTAGAAAATGATTTACTTTTTGGAAATAACACGCCTTGTCCTCTTGTTTTCATTATTGGCGGCTGCAGAGGTTCCCTGATTGCACCCAATCACCACATCCTGCGGACGGTTACATTTTGGGGTGCTCTGTAGCTTGGCAGGCCTAATATCAGTTTCTTTATTATTAGTAGAAAACGAATTACTTAGCACAGCAGAACCAGTTGAGGACCACGTAACAATCAAGCACTTAAAGTCTTCTTCAGTAATTATTTTAGAACGGCTTCTATCGGGGAGCTTAGTATAAATAGTACTGTTATATGACCATACATTTTTGATGCCGAAATGTTTCCTCGACTTTTTGTATATCCCTTGCCTGATCTTTCTAAGAAACTCAGTTACGGTGAATGAAGTACTTTTTAATTTGGATTTGGACTTCCAGACATAAGACTTGGTTTGATATTCATGGAATTGGACAAAAACTGGCCTAAGTTTGTTATTATTATTATGGGGTATCTATATAGTTTTCTCATCTGGTTGGGTTCTATAAATATGTAATTATAAATGAGAATGAAAAGATAAATATACATAAATATCAATAACATAAAATAAATATAAAAATACTTAAATAAATAAAAGCCCAACCAGATGGAGGCCCTCGGCAGGGGAGACCAAACGGCCGAGGGTTAGGGGGAAAGGGAAAGAAACCGGCGGACGATGCGGGCGGTATCGAGGAGCACCGCCTTCTGAATTTGAGCCCGGAGCGGTCCGCCACGTAGTCCCAGTCGCCTCAGATGACCCGAGAGGCTGACTGGGATTAGCCCGTTCGCAGAGACGACTACAGGAATAATTTCGGTCGGCAGACCACCCCACATGTCGGTCACCTCGTGAGCCAGGTCCAGATATTTTGTTTGCTTGTCTGTTTCGGCTTTCACGAGGTTCTCGTCATACGGAATGGTAATGTCGACCAAAAATATCCTTGACTGTGCCCGGTCCATCAGCACAATATCAGGCTTATTCGCAAGAATAGTCCTGTCTGTGATGATGGCCCGGTCCCAGTAGAGCCTGGCGCGGTCATTTTCGAGCACGGCTTCCGGCAAGTACTTGTAATACGGCAATTTCCGGTCCACGAGACCATATTTCAGAGCGAGCTCCTGGTGTAGAATTCTGGCTACTAGGTTGTGCCTGTGCAAGTACTCAGAGTTAGAAAGCGCCGAACAACCGGAGATAACATGCCTAAGTGATTCACCGGGATGGCGACAAGCTCGACAGACGTCGACGGTGCCATCCTTTAGGATGTATCTCCGATAGTTGTTGGTCTTAATAACCTGATCCTGTATTGCACAGACAAAACCCTCGGTTTCCCCGAAGAGGTCACCGAAACGTAGCCAGTTGAGGGAGGCGACTGTATCTACGAAGGGCTCATGAAGAGCCCTGTAGTACCTCCCGTGGAGCTCCTTCTCCTTCCATACGGTCTCCCGGTCGGAAATGCTAAGCACTGCTGGGTCCTGCCATTGCTCGTGGGCTAAGGATAGAGGGGGTAAGCCCTTTATCACTAGAAATGACGTCATTATAGAATGGATCATCCGATCTCGCCAGGAAGTAATCACGGAGGCTGCACACTTCGCGATTATGCATGGTGAGCGCGCTCATAAAACCACGCCCACCATGCTTTCGCGGCAAGTACAGCCTCATTACCGACGATCTCGGATGATGCATCCTATGGGACGTCATGGTAGTGCGGACTTTTCTATCCAGGGCGTTAAGTTCGGTCTGAGTCCACCTGAGTATGCCAAAGGTATATATGAGGACAGGCATGACCCAACCGTTATATGCGTGTGTCTTATTCACACCGGACAAAAGGCTGTTAAGCACTTTGGTCAAGCGTGCATAAAACACGTCGCAAACTGACTGTTTCACACCAGCCTCATCGATACCGATGTTCTGTGACATACCCAGGTATCGGTATGTTTCAGCCTCGGAAAGGGTCTTTAAGTTGACGGGCATAGATAAATCTATGCCCTCAGAGTTAGCAACCCTTCCCCTTTCAACATGAAGGACCGCACACTTATCCGTCCCCAGCTCCATTCCAATGGAATTGCTAAATTCACAAGTGATGTTTAGCAATTCCATAAGATGGGAGCGACTGGAGGCGAATAACTTGAGGTCATCCATATAGAAAAGGTGGGTCACTTTTGTTCCTCCTTTCCGTAGCTGAAATCCTCTCCCGGAGCCCTCCAGTAAGGTACTGAGAGGGTTCAGAGAGAGGCAGAACCAGATTGGACTCAGACAATCGCCCTGGAAGATACCCCTTCTTATCCTTATGTGGTTCTCCGCAGCCATCATCCGCTCGCCCTGATAACAGAGGATCGTACTCCACTGCCCCATACACTGCTCGAGGAAGTCTCTAACTGTACAGTCAATCTTGTACAGCTCGAGGACCCTCTTTAGCCATGCATGGGGCACCGAGTCGAATGCTTTTCTGTAGTCTATCCAGGCGGCGGAGAAGTTCCGACGGTTGCGTTTTACCACTTTGCCAATGACCGCGTCAATGAGGAGTGGTTCCTTGGTTCCACGACCACCGCCCCGATATCCATTTTGAGCGCGTGACATCACCTTATTTAGCTCCAGGTGACGAGTGATTCTCGCGCTCAAAATGGATGTCAGTGTCTTATATATAGTGGGTAGACACGTGATGGGGCGGTATTTGCTCGGGTCTGTGGTATCCTGATCTTTAGGAACCAAGTGAGTGATCCCAGTAGTGAAGAGGCTCGGGAGCGACTTCTGATCGAGAGCCTCTTGATACTGTCGGGCGAGCACAGCGTGACACACTACGAACCCCTTCAGCCAGTAATGATGCAGTCCGTCGAGCCCCGGACTTTTCCAGTTCGGGGCCCTACGGACCGCCTCAGCCACGTCTTCAGGCGTTATGGTGACGGGGTCCATAGGCGTAACACTTGCACTCCGGCTCGCCACAACTTCCATCCAAGGGCCCTCGCTGTGGTTTACGGGCTCTGACCACAGGCCACGCCAAAATGCGACAGTGTCAGCCTGATCCGGTCCTGGGCCCGCTCCACATACCTCTGGTCGCTCCAATGATTTATAGAGCCTCTTCTGATCACTCTGGAAGAGACGATTTTGGTTGAACCGCCTTGACCTCTCGCTAAATCGTCGAATCCGCTTCCCCCAAGCAGCGATTTTTTGCTTCAGGTCATCTATGCGCTCCGTTAGTTTCTGCGTGATATCCGGCTGGGACAAACTAATATTTGTCCCAGCAAACGCCATTCTAACGGTGCGCACAACTCTCGGTCTAATATTACCCGACCTGAAGCTTGTCAGTCTGCCGATAAGGGCCCTTGCCTTTGCGATACGGTCCTCGATTCTTTTTCTCCAGGCTGGGATGGCACTACCTTGTTGAGTAGCACGTCCAGCCATGGGAAGTTTGGCGCCAATAATACGGCATACTGCCAGTGCGGCGCCAAAAAGAATAGAGTCCGTCTCGCAAAGGTCCCGGCTGGCTTCCAAATAGGTCACCAGCATTGGGTTAAGAGCCCGCACGACAGCCCGATTTCGCTTGCTAAGGGGTATGCGGGGAAGTCGCGGTCGATTTTCGAGAGGCATGCTGCGCGTTTCCAGCATCGACTCTTCCAATATGCTCCTCATTTTCTCTAGTTCGTGGGGGACTATTCCATCATCGTCTGAATCAACTACAAATGGAATATTGACGGCAGCGTCCACATTTGCAGTTTGCTGCGCAATTAGTGGCGCCGCATTCCCAGCCGTAGCATTTCCATCCGATGAGGGAACAGCCTCACGTCGTAGTCGTTCGAGTTCGGCGTCACCAAATATGTTGGAGCGCAGGATGTACCGAACTCGGTCTGCCAGGTTTTGCTCAGTGACGGATAGAGATGGCTCCAGCTCTGCAAAAAAGCGATGCATCCGAGCCCGATATGCCAAACATCCGGTTTCTTCCCCTTTTGCCCTAAAGTACGCCCGCAGTGCGTTTGCGTTCATTGTTTGTGACCAACGCATGCGACGTGCTCCACCAGCGGCGGGTGCCGCTTGCTGAGTCCGAGAAGACCCAGCCGACACCAAGCCTTCTGGTGGGGATGATGGATGCGGAGGGCTGCTAGGTGATCGTACAGCTTATTTTATTATTATTATTATTATGAGAGCCCAGCCGATGACACCGTTTTAATGCGGACCAGTCAACATTTGTAAGTCCCATTTTGTTTTGAATAAGGCCAAGAACTTCATTTACTAAATTAACTTCAGGATTCTCAGCAATACCATTAAACAATAACACCTTCCGCCGTTGCCTCATGTCCATTTCGTCGATAGAATTGACACATCTAGTAATCTGCTTTTGTAACAAGCTTAGGATATTACTCACTAGTTCCTTAAAAGCCTGGAATTCGTGACTGAGTTGTAACAGTGTTGGAGTGGATGGTACCATAGCAGCTTGTAACCGTTCTTCAAAATCCGCCATCCTTTGTGACAAGCTAACTTCCAGTTCTCTCTGAACATTATTGGCATGGGTGACATTCGCCATAGTGAGCTTTACTGTGTTAAATCCAATAACAAAACTACACTGATTTCACTTATAAGATTTGCTAACCTGATAGATGATGCAAGCAAATTCTTAAGAAAAATACTTCATGAATACACAACTATTGAATAAATCTTGCAAATAACTATTAATAAACCGATTAAAGTACAAAATAAAATTTAATATAACGTATATTAATTATAATTTCGTAAAATAAATCGGAGCTCGTAAGGACAGATGTTACTTTTTTTACACCTACCGCCGAAAAAAAAAGCTTTTATGTTATATAAGGCACTGAAATTATAGTTCAAAATATAGACAATCTTAGATCATACACTGTTGCAGATTGTTTTATTTAACGACAACCCTTCTAGTGTATCAGTAGGACAACAGGTCAACTAGTTAAGCTAGTAAGCATTGGTCCATCGACCCTGGATATCAGACCCAGATTAGTCAGAAGTTTTTGTTAGTTAGCGGTGCCAGGTTTGGGCCGCACTTCTTAGTACACGCAGTGGATCGCTACGTCAAAAGTACCGGGCACCCTGCAGAGGTAGTAATAGCTTTGTCCAGCAAGATGGACAAACTCATCTGCACTGGGAGTGTCAGTTCAACGTGACGTCACAGAGGACGCCATCAGTAACACATCGCCAGTTCGGTCTTCGAGTTCGCCAATAGCAGCCGGGTGTCGAAGTTCAAGGTGAAGCCGAAGGAGGGCGCCGCAAGTACAATATCAGTTCAACCTGTGTTTGTATTAGTGAAGTGCAAACGTGAGTACAATTTAATTATTTTCATAGGAGCTGTGACAATTTCTTACTAATTTGATTATTGATTAGTGACAAGTATTGCGGACAATATTTGCCAATTAATTTTGTACTTTATTTCAAGGAAGATTTAACTTTAAAATTGTGCATATTAGATAAAGGACTAGTTTTATAAAAACGGGAGAACGGGAAACCTATGCCCGATTTCTGCCAGAGTGTATTTGTTCATAAACACTTGTAAAATTTTTCACTGTTTTTGAGACTTAGAAACATTCGCAAGCTTTGTTTAGTTAAGAAACTTGTTAAGTTTTATGTTTCAATTTAGGTTTTTCTGTTACAAAGTTGATATTGTGTTACATTCAGATTGATAAATTTAACTTTACACAAATAATAAAATTATACTATTTTTTATATTAATTAATAATTCTACACATAGGTATTTTACCACTGTTTTGTTGTTTACGATGGAAGGACAAATTAATATATTAAAAGACCTTCAACAAGTAATACAAAAGGGCTTTACTAATTTCACAAAGTGTCCAAAGGATAGACTTACTGTATAATATATACAAACAAGGCTTGAATTATTAAAAAATGATTGGTCTTCGTTTACAAATACTAAATCTCTACTATATGGTCGGTTTAAGTTAGAAGATATAGGTCAAAAGGTTGTCGATATATATGACGCAACAGAAGATACTTACATATTATGTAAATCTTTAATGAAATCAACTTTAAACAAGATAAGTATCAGAGAACCGTTACCACAAGATAGTGGATGTAGTAATAGTTCTAACTCTTTTAAGCAATCTAGTTCATTTGTAAAGTTGCCCAAGATAACAATTCCTAATTTTTCAGGCAAGTACAGTAAATGGAAAACTTTTCACGACCTTTTTGTTTCACTAGTACACAATAATGCATCCTTAGATAAATCTTAAAAGTCAGCTAGCCGGTGAAGCTGAGCAGTCGATTAAGCACACACCAATCACAGATGCTAATTATAACGAATGTTGGTCTCAACTAGAAAAGCGCTATGCAAATAAAAAGTACCTAACCAGTTGTATTTTAAAAAGATTGTTCGGCCAGAAACGCTTACATGTGGAATCAGCTAACTCATTAAAGGAGCTGCTAGATACTACATGTGACTGTTTTAATGCACTAAAAATTTTAAAATCGATGTGAGCACATTGGACGTTATTGTCATCCATATAGTGACGTTCAAGTTAGCTAATGAAACATGAAAGCAGTGAGTTTCTCTCAATGATGCTTTAAAGGTTGGACCAACGCTGCAAGCAGACTTGAGACACACAGTTCTTAGATGGAGAGTACACGCTATTAGTATTGTGGCGGAAATAAATAAAATGTACCGCCAAGTCATAATAGCAGATGAGGATGCTATATTCCAGAGGATACTTTGGTGAGAAGGCCCCGAAAAACCACTTAGGGATTATGATTTGGTAACAGTGACCTTTGGAACAGCTTCGGCACCTTGTCAGGAGTTAGATCACTCCATCAGGTTGCATATGACGAAGGAATTAAGTATCCACTTGCAGCTGATAGAGTTTTAAATTCTTTTTATATGGATGATTTGATGGTGGGTAGTAATAGTGTCGAAGAGGGAGTGCAAATATGTAAACAAATGTTAAATTTATTAGGAAAAGGAGGATTTGCCTTGCAGAAATGGAATAGTAACAATCAGCAACTATTAGATATAATAAGTTAAATATATACAAGTGAAGTAGTACAGCAAACAGGTCAAATAAACATAAAAAATGAGTACACTGACAATCAGGACAAGGTCGACATAGCAGATAAGGGAAAAGAAATAGATAATAAGAATATAGAAATTAAGCTAGGTAGTATTATAAAAATTTTGGGACTTACCTGGAACCGACACGAAGACTGCTTTCAGTACTCGGTAAATCTTACACCGCCAACGACCGCACCTGTAACAAAAAGACCAATAATATCAGATACTTCTCGTTTGTTCGATCCATTAGGATGGTTAGCTCCTAATGTGGTATTAGCAAAGACGTTCATACAAAAATTATGGCTCGTAGGTGTAAGTTGGGATGAGGAATTAACTACCGATTTAATATCAGAGTTGAGTACTTACCGCGAAGAGTTGTCATTACTTACCAAAGTTCAGGTACCTCGTTAACTTGGTACAAGTTCATCTGATGACCTTGAATTGCACAGTTTTAGTGACACCTCTAAAGCAGCGTACTCAGCCGTCGTTTACTTAAGAATAATTGATGTCTCAGGCAAAATTTATCTGTCGTTGTTAGTGGCTAAAACAAGAGTAGCTCCCATCAAACAAATTAGTATTCCGTGATTGGAGTAATGTGGTGCTGTACTTTTATAAAAGATATTGAAGGAGACAGCAGAGGTTTTAAATATTTCAAAGGAAAAGATCTTTGCATGGACTGATTCTACGGTAGTGCTATTGTGGTTTAACAGTCACCCTAGCAGGTGAAAAACATTTGTAGCTAACAGAACTTCGGAAATTTTGGGCGCTTTGAATTTATCGCAATGGTTTCATGTGCCGACCAAAGAGAACCCAGCTGACTGCGGTTCAAGGGGAATACCACCCAGTTTATTAGTCGGTAATGAGTTGTGGATTTCAGATCATTTCTGAAAAAAATTGAGTACAAGAGGCCAAAGGATTTAAAAACTAATTTAGAACAAACTATACAGGCGCACACAGCTGTAGATCCAGAGCATGTATTTTTCGAAAATTATTCTAGTCTGCGAAAATTAGTTACAAGTCGTTGGTTATTAGGTCGAGTTATAGAGAAAAATTCAGGTGATGATAACGCTACCCTTGTGATAATTCGTGAAATGAAAACGAAAATTCATTGCGCACGAAATCATCGGTAATTAAAAGGCCAACATCAAAATTATGTATTCTACCTATTGCAGATCCATGATTTGTTTATTTTTTATGTCAAATTTATGCAAAAAAATTATTATATTAAATGTTTACCTACTTTTACACTTACAAAAAAAATGTACTTACTACTACTACTACTTAGTTAAGTTTAGAATTACCTCTTAGTTTATCAAGTTAATTTATTTTATTATATTTTAAAGCTTTGTTATTTAAGTAATCAGTGCAAAATTTAGATGTAAGTGCAATTTAGAAGGCAATTCCGTCACTAAATGTCCTTGGTGGGCGGTATGTTTATACTATATATATATATACCAGGCGGTCCCATAATGAACTGGCCTGATATAGTTCAACGCGACATGTCGCTACATGTTGTGATGCATTAAATAGTACGTTTATCGTGGACTTAATATAAGAAACATGCATCGATATGAAATGCTTAGTCTTAGTTTAACAGGCATTTGAATAACGAGAGTCGCGTATTTTTTCAAAATGTTGAAAACTGAGTATCGAAGTGTCATAAAGTTTCTGTTTAAAGAAGGTTTATCCCCCACCCAAATAAAGGAACGATTGGATGGCGTGTATAAGGGGTCTGCCCTCTCCTATAGCACAGTGAAAAATTGGGTGAAAGAGTTTCGCCTCAGGAGAGAAACCGTCGAAGACTTTGGCCACGACGGTCGACCTGTGGAAGTGCTCACTCCCGAAACGATTGCTCTTATCGAAGAGGAGGTTCTGAGTGACCGTCGTTTAAAGATTAGAGAAATTGCAGCAAGGCTTTGGGTCTCTAAGAGTACCGTTCATCGCGCGATCCATGAACATCTTCACATGAAAA